GACGTAAGGAAGCTGCGTACTGCATTTGCGCAACGGACAGTCGACTGGTTGCTTTCCGGAACGCGGCATATCCGACATGTAGGAGCCAACTCTTGGGATAGGACGATGAACGCCATAGTCCCGTGAACATTGCCCACACAACAGTGACGCAAAGTGACACCAGGGCGGGAAGAAAGTCCAGTTTCTCCGCGAAGGAAAGGGGGATTGCAGTGTTGAGCATGTTGACTGGATTGCCGCTGGTAGTAGCTAGCCCTGTCATACCGTCGTCGTATGATCCATGGACCTTGTAGCACACAAACCCTCTATATTTATTGCGTGAATACTCGCATCAACGTCAAGCTCCCTTTGGAAGGGGAAGAGTTTCACCTCATGTCTTCATGTGAGGAGGGATCGCAACGATTACTGTATTGGGTAATGATAGACCCCACAGACGATCATCGGCACAGCAGAAAATTTAAATCAGATCCTCGGCTTTTTCCCCAGACTGTCGCTTCGGATGATCCCTGAAGCGCTTATCATATAATCTCCGCCATCACCACCTCTCCTCATTTCTGGAGCTCGCGACGATTTCTCATTTCGGAAATGGACAACCGAGGCATGTGAGCCATTTGGCAGATGCATCCTCCTACCGGATATCCAGAGCATATAAATCGGGCTACGAAGCCCATACGGATATCACTGCCACCTTAAAGCACCTTGTCGAGATGGAGCAATCTTTTGATGTTGTTATTATTGGTGCCGGTATCTCCGGCATCAACACTGCTTATCGCTTGCAGTCTCAAAACCCTAAGCTTCGCTATACTATCCTCGAAGCCCGTAACAACCTAGGCGGCACCTGGGATCTCTTCAAATATCCTGGGATTCGCTCGGACTCGGATCTCTTTACTTTTGGATTTTCCTGGCACCCATGGGACCAGGGGAATCCCATCGCCGATGGACCCTCCATCGTCAAATACATGAACAACGCCGCCGAGAGACACGGCATCAAGAAACACATCCTCTTCGAACATCGCCTTTTAGGTGCCGATTGGTCTTCGGCAGAGAACACCTGGTCACTAAGCGTCGAGCATGAGGGACATTCCAAGTCATTCTCGGCTCGGTTTATCGTATTTGGCACCGGCTATTACGACTACCATATGCCTTTGCAAGCCGAAATCCCTGGGCTGGATCAATTTCAGGGACAGATCATCCACCCACAGTTCTGGCCCGAGGGCCTGGACTATAGCGACAAGAAAGTTGTCATCATCGGTAGTGGTGCCACCGCGGTGACTCTGCTTCCCAACCTTGCCCAGAAGGCCAAGCATGTTACCATGCTCCAGCGTAGTCCCACCTATATTCTTTCTATCCCGAACCAGCGGCGTTCGTGGTTGAGCTATATTCTTCCCGCGGCTCTTGATCGCAAAATCCAGCGTCTGCGATGGCTTCTCAGCTCACGATTTTTCTTCCTTTTCTGTCAAGCCTTCCCGACCCTCGCCCGGTTCATCCTCCGCCTGTCTGTCTCCCTCCAGCTGCCCTCCCACGTTCCACACGACCCGCACTTCCGCCCACGATACAACCCATGGGATCAACGTCTTTGCATATGCCCTGATGGGGACTTCTTTAAGAGCTTGCATACCGGTCGCGCAAATGTGAAGACTGACACAATCCGCGAGGTCACGGCATCGGGGATCGTCCTCAACTCTGGAGAGAAGTTGGACGCGGATATGATCATTACAGCCACCGGACTGAAATTGCAGATCGCGGGCGGAGCCTCTGTCACTGTTGACGGAATTCCTCACCATGTTTCCGACAAGTATATCTGGCACGGAATCATGTTGCAAGACGTTCCCAATGCCGCCTTTGTCATCGGCTATACCAACGCCTCCTGGACTTTGGGCGCCGACGCAACAGCGCAATTCCTTTGCCGACTTCTCCAAGAGTTGGAGCAACGAGGCGTCAAGGCAGCCGTGCCACGGTTAAGTCCCGCCACTGCCAAAGAGATGCAACCGCGTCGGTTATTGAACCTCAATTCTACCTACGTGACTAAGGCAGAGCGGGACCTACCCAAGGCGGCGGACAGAGGACCATGGCTGCCAAGAGATAATTATCTCGATGATATCAAGTTTGCAAAGAAAGGCCGCATCGATGAGGATATGGAGTTTCTGGGTGAGAAGAAATTGCAGTAGATGTATGTATAGATCTTGGAGTTAGAGGTTGTTGTGATTCTTCATGTTCATAGTCATGTCTTACGGATGCCGAAATGTCATTTCCTTTCTAAATACTGGCCACGAAAAAATAAAAAATAAAAATAAAAATTAGAAATGAACGCAACAAGTCCGTTTTCAAGTGTTAGTTTGGATGTTTAGTCGTACCCTCTCCTACAACATAGCTTCTACATATCAAGACCGAACGTCAAAGCTCCCGGACCTCCTAACATATGACGGCCGACTGAGAAAACTTTGGTTTATCCTCGGGATAAGACGTTTTACACTAATGGATCTTAGGGCGCCACATAGGGCAGCAGCTCTCATGTCTGGCTGTTGATCAGACAGAGGAAGAAAAGTGCCTCATTTGCCCGAGAAAGGGCCTTGATCTGGGTAATATCGAACCTGAGAAGGGGGACTAAAGGCCTATCCTAAATCTTGCAATGGAACTAGAAGAGGAGCTAGGGCCTCTAGCCCCGCTCCAAGCTTCCAATCCATGGGAAGCATAGTTTAGAATTGGCTTGGGGCCTGACATAAGACGCTTGCCTTGGGACGGTAACTCGCTTATAACCACTTACATCACAACGAAGTCACCTCGGAGCGCCGTGAGGGCCAAAGTCTGGTCTACAAGAACGATAGGCACTTTTTTTTTTTTATTTTTTGGCGCTTTTCAGGGTCTACCAGGCTATGTTACCTTAGATGAGTAAGAATTCTCACAGAACTTGCCTACCATCCTGTTGTTGGTAATTTAACTCTGCCAGCAAGCTGCACGGTTGAAGAAGCAACACCCAGGGGTCGTTATTGAACTCTTCTCTGACCAATAGTTTTGGAAAAGAGATGCAGAGGCCACAAAGCCAATCAGTGACCACTTCTCTTCGACCCAAAGGTTCGACCCCCTAAGTTCCTGCGGAGTCCCAAGCCAAACCCTAGGAAAGGCAATAGGTCACTGCGTTAGATTCTGGGTTCCGGCCCACAACAAGGTGATCCCAGCGTGAACCCACCGATATACGCAGAATTTTCGTATGGACCATGGTTCTCATACTATGCAGGTACCTGTTCAATGAGGTTATTCGTGAGCTGATTGACAAGCTGGCAAAAGTTGATTCGGCGGGGTGCAGAAGCGCTTACCGGCTATTGATCCTGATTCGCGGCTTTTCCCATTTCAAAAAAGTCTGTCTCCAAGAGACGCATATCCTTACATCTCTCAGGAGCAAATATCACGGGCAGGAAAGCTAAAATGGGGCAGTCATAGCTTCCCTAAACATGACTGCGTTGGAATCAACCATTGGCAATCTCCTATTCGCTCGAAAGATGACATCAGAATAAGTAAAGGTGGGTTGAATATCTGCCTTCTAGTGAGAAGGATATAAATTTGCTCTAGGCAGCCCAGCTGACATGGGTGAGGTGCAACTACCAATCATACAATTATATGCTCATTCCACATGTACCTCTTCACGGCCCCTGTGATGCATACACTATGCTCATGAACTTGAGCAGCCTCCTTCACGTAACGCTTGTAGCGTTGGTTATCTACACTGATTAATATGACTTCAATCACCGTAGTACAGCCACAGTTTCTATGGGACCTGGCCCCTACGTTCCCTCAGCTACCAACATGCTCCAAACACCCCACAAATGAGCGGCAACCGCTGAGCCTGGAAAACATCAATCCGTATGAGGCATGGCCTAAATATGGCAACACCTCCTCCTATGCCATGTGCAATGCAGACCAGTCAAGTCTCGCCTGTTCACAGCCTATTTCGGACGCTATGCCTCTAGCGGAAGCTACTTTGCCCATTCAGACAACCACCCAGGCGATCAATGGTGAGCCCAGAGGGACTGCACAAAACATGACCGTCTCCAAGCCAGATGCAATGGAGCCTTCACACACATTTGCAAATCACGACAAGATAAACAAAGATTGGAAGGCAAGACGAGACAAGATCCTCCAGCGTAACCGCCAAGCTGCCAAACGGTGCCGGCAGCGGAAAAAGCTCGTGGTAGAAGAAATCGAGTCTCTTGCCGATGCGCATGCCTGGCGGAATAACGAGCTTCGGATGCAAATTGAACAACTGCGCTATGAAATTCTGGATCTTCACAGCGAGATACTGAAGCACGCACAGTGGGATGACGAGCCAATCAAGCGATATCTTTCGCAGAGGGTTAGAAAAATTTCGGGGGAACATATACTCGACTCCGCTAGTCTTCAGCCGATAGACCCGCGGCTGTCTTTCTCTTCCTTGGAAGCACGACCCGAACAACACTCAACGACAAAGACTATTGCATACCCAGAAGATCATGGATCTCAGTATGACTTGCACGGCTTTGGTGCCGAAATTTTGCCTTGCCACCATTCAACCTCAGCGTCAGCTTCGTCGGATGGACAGACTGTGGACCACGCTTTGTTTGAAATGATCAGCTACTAACCTTATCGCCGTCTCATCAGGTCATGGGTTCCGAGATACTCTTGTACGCTTAACCCTATGATCATAAGTTCCTCTTGATATATAAAGATCTCTTCATATATATATCAATATCAGCTATTGGAGAGAAAGACAAAGACTGAGAAGAGATATAAGAAAAGCAGAAGCAGAGGAGCCTTACAGGGTCTTGTCTACGCTGTAGGGTTTCAAACGAGGCCAGTGCAAGGTGAAGGGAGCGATTAGGATTCGGCACATGGACTAGGACCTATTATATAGCCTTGGCCGTTATTGTTGTAAAGAAAAAATAGTTATGACCCTTTCCTGAAAGTTCCATCGAGTAAACATTGCCCGGGGAGGATCCAAGGATAATCAGATACATCTGTATAGGTACTGCTTCTTCGAAACCATATAAGTCATGAGATTCCATCGAACACTAACTATATCTTGTCTCTATTACACACTAATGGGTGACCCTCCCTTGGTCCCGCTGACCTCGAACTTCACAAAATAAAGCACATTTACGAAATGGGACAGTGCCACATCAGAAGTACCATGTGTCAATTCCTCGACCTTACCCCGAGATGATCATCACTGCCAAACATCGCTCTGCACAGCACTTTTCACCCCGCAAGTCGAAGGAACACTGTATTTCCGGTTGGGGTCACTCTCCCACGTAACCACCCCGTTCTGAACGCGAATGAACTTATACTCGAACGACTGTCCAGCGGGCAAGTTAATTGTCCCCGTCCACAAGGGATTATCCGTAGTGTATCTGTCCGCGTTCAATGCAGTCGCGCTGCTAGGATTCCAGCTCCCAAGCTGAGAGATCGACCCGACAATCTTGATAGTCTCACCGTAAACAGTAGTAGCTTTCACATCAAAGGTCACTGACACAGTCGTCGGCTTCTGGCAGGGGCTGTCTGGCGCGCCTGGGTATCCGCTAATGGTCGGCCAAGATGTGATAACCACGCTGCTGTAGGTGCCCGAGGCGGAAGTCGGGGAGCAAGCCGACGGAATACTGGTGGCAGCGGTCTCGCCCCATGGTGCAGGAACGACGGCGTTTCTTCGGTTGTGAGCCGTGAGAAGTGCAGCGTACGACCAGGTAAGATCCCGGGCGGAGGTCTGGCTTCCATCCTTTTTGGTAAATTGCTCAGACATTGAGCCGGTGGATGTGGCGTAGGTTTGCTGCGGTCATTAGCAATACTAGCGATTAGGTAGAGTGAGAGGAGAGGGGGTTAACTTGACGTACGACGATCTGCACATATCCATCTGCATAGGCTTTGACGGCCTTGACTATATCTTTATACACCGTCGTGGACGATGCGTAGGTCCCTGTCGCGGCAGAACCGTATAGAGCTTTGAAAAATGGCAGAGAAACGTCCGTGATGGCCAACGATCCAATTTGATCCCACTGGTACAACGCGTCATACAACTGCTCTGCAGCGGCCAGAGTAGTCAGGAACCAGGGATTCCCACTGTAATAGCTGTCTTCGGGGTAGCGACCAACAGCAACAGCTTGATTCTCAGCGCGACCGGAATTAATGGAATAGATCGAGCGGAACGAGTCCGTTACCACCTTATGGTTGGCTAAGGCTCGCGCTGAACAGGGCTGGAAGGTAGCATCATCACACTTTGCTTGGGGATCAAACGTGTGGATACTACCTAGGACAGTGTTGATATCTTTGCCCGATCGACCGCCACCAAAGTTAGCCTGAATGTAACTCCCGGTCCAGAAGGATTGTAAATAACATCGGACTTGGGGCGCTTGCGAGTCACAGTAGGGGCACGAGGAACCGACGGTCTTTGCGAAGCTGCTGCCTTCTACCAAAGCGCGATGAGAAACCGCGACAGTAAAGAATGATGTTCCTTGAACCTCCTCCCAGAGGTCTGTGAAAGTTAGCTGCTGATAGATGTGTGTCATCTCTCTGGGGACTCACCGAACCCGGATTGGCTCCAATACTGAGCCACATAGGATAGATCATTCCTGACGACAGGCCATACCAGGTCTGTCGCTATGCTTTTATGGCCATTTTCCTACAAAGTAAGCTAAGCCTAGTCTGAAGAGAGAATAGCACTTACCACTAGCCATTGACCAAACGAGATCATAGCGGTCGCTCGCAAAGCTGGCCCGTCACGCTGCGGCCGACCCCATGCGCCTGTGAATGCCGTCTCGTCGGCATTGAACTTAGGTTCGCCCAGACCCCCACTGGAAAGAGCACCAGAAGGGTTGGAAATGCCTTGGATCCGAGCCTGGGAGCTAATAAACTCCTCGATAATAGGGAGAAGATCAGCATCTCCGCCTCTGAACAGATCGACCAGGGTTTTCATGACGAGACCCGAGTCACGGGTCCAGGTATAGAAATCTACGGCCAGTAAGTCAACTGAAGGATTGCAGAAGACCAGGGCACTTACAATCTGGGTCACTTTTGCTCGGGCTTGCAATCACCACCCCTGGACTTGCGCCCTGCACCGACTGGCCATCTGCACCGATATTATTCAGGATGGCCTGACGAGAAAACTTTGCTTCGGTGTTCAGCCAGGTATCTAGACCTGGCTCCTGTCTAAGGATAGGTTGGACCGCGAGAACTGAGGATCCGAGGGCTAAGGCCCGAAGACAAGAGGAGAAAGACACCATGTTGCTTCGACTTCGTTTGTTGATGCGAGAATAATCCTCTGACTAGGACGATAAACCACGATACCTTTTATAATAACCCTCGTGAAGGGTTCGGGTTGTTCGTGCTTCAAAACATCATCCGACTGACCTGAATCAAAATCAAAGGTGCGGAGCGTCAGCCAATGCTGAGGGAGCAGTCACCAGGTTAAATTTCCGGAGGCACTTCTGCAAGCCAAGACAAATTGACTATTTTCTAAGAGTCGTGCAGCTGGCTGGAGCCAAGACGCCACAACTTCCAATCACGCTGCTCGCTTCAAGACCGGAAGAAGCAGCCACAATTTAATTTCGCCCGGGAATTCGCCGTCCCCTGTCTGAAGAACATCTACAATGGGCTGTTCCAAAGGTCTAGATTATGGGTAGGCCATGATATAGTAATTGTGGTCTAGTCTCGCGTCCCTTGCACACTCACATTTCCAAACGCCTAGAGACAATACCTTCCCTACAGAATCCACGACGTATATGCCTGATTCTACCTGTCACACGAAGTACAGCAATGTATATAAGTCGAAGCGCCCATATAAGCTTAATCGAGATCGAGTTGAAATAGTAATGACATATATTTTGTGGTGGGTGGATATTATAGATCGAAAGCAATTCCCACCTAGGGCTACTATGGAGTGCGACTTTTGCTTTAGCGTAGGCCCTTCTATTCTTCTTCGGCAGATACAAAAGTCACGTCTTCCGGTCTTACTGGGCAATATTTGGAACTGTGATTTCCAGGATGCCTAGATAATTCACCGTTGTAGTATATATGTATACATTCATATGCGAGTCAAGGTCAACAGCCAGTGTTTCCGATGTCAACCCCCAAAAGGAGAGAAAAGAACCTTTTGGGAGTGCCAACTTTTCTCCCCGCTGCTTGTACAACTTCTCTCCCTTGCATCTTGAGATACCATCGAAATGTTCCCACTCCACTAGAGCCAACCTTCGTCCCTCGAAACGTTTATTTACCTGGAAGTCTGGGGCCCTGAACCGTATCTAAAGAAGAAAGCAGCCTCCATCTTGAACCTCACGGTATCAAAAGAAGAGGGTAGAAAAATGAGAACAGGTAAAGGATTCGGGGTTGAATCTACTATGTCGCGCATGAGTCACGTGTGTTAGATTTCTGTTGCCTCAAAAGGTTACGGGGAATTTTCCATTTGCAATTTTTCTAGGAATCAGGACTTAATTGAAGATTCTCTAACTCGGGTCTCATTTTAATTGATAGAATCGGGGCCGCTCCGGGCCTGATTCTATTCCTATAGTGAATCATATATGCATTTTTTCTGTACTCAACTCGAGACAATCTTCTTCTTACAGCCCCAGACCACTTATAAAAAGACTCGATATCCAGTCTCTTGAGTGTTGAGTGGGATGCGGTCTCCGGTATTTTACGTGCTACATGTACAGTAGCCAAAACCCCCAGGCCCATGGGCGCTGGTTGTATTCTGGATGAAAGCTAGCGCATGAACAATTTGGCCAGTTGATAGAGTCTACACGGTGACATTGTACGGTATAGCTTATTACTTGTATACTGGGAACCTATAGGTTTCAAGACCAATGAGATCGCTAACTTTCCCTATCCACCACCTATACATAGAGCATTACACCTTCGCCTTATGGATCGGAGAATTTAAAAATTACTAGTAGTATCGAATGCGTCTGAATCATTCCTTAATGCTAGGTTTCAAAATCGACTCGGCCCTCTATGTATTCCGTCCTTGGGGCACCCTCAAAATGGAATCCTCTGATGTCGATAGACAGGCAATTCCATCTCCAGTTGGCGGGACTACCTTGCCGGTGAAGCTGACATCGGGCCGTGTTCGCTCTATTATTCCTGGTAATGCTGCTGACCACCCCTAGGGTATGATACTAGTAGCTACTTTCAATTAGGAACCATGCATGCATTTAAGAGAACCAGTACTTTAGCCTCATGATATTTAGGCACTAAAATATATCTTCTGTTTCGTGTACGGACCCAGGTCATTAAGACATTAATGGGGACATAGCAACGACGGATGTTGATCGAGCCGACAGAGTTACTAGCGAAGTATATTATAAACAATATCTACATGTTAGCCACATGTCAAGCACGGCCCGGTCCGAGTATATGGCATTGCTGTGGCAATGCAGGGAACATAGGTACTTGGCGACTGCTTGAGTATGGCACTGCAGTTCAATATCACACTCGGCCAGTAGTAGTCAGAAGAGCAAGGTTTATTGATAGTGGGACGTTACATTGGCGGTGGGGATGACCCTACGCCCCCTGCTCTAACTTTTGTATTGGTTACGCTGAGCAGATGCCGAGCGCAGGAGACCTTGGTGGTCAAGAGTGGGGAGGTAAGATATCCTTCCAAAAGAAAGAAAGAAAGGGAATGTATATTGTATGGCATTCTATAACCATCCCCCCCCCAACCAACTAGCGTATACATCGGCTATTACTAGTGAAATTTCAATGCCATGGACGGATTTTTGTTAAATTATCCATCCACAACGCAGAGTGACATGACATCAGATTCCAATGTTTACCGGAGCCTCCGGATATTTCTCAATTATCACGAGCATCTATAATAATTTGCCCAGTCGGCTATTCAGTCAATGTAAGGATACCCGATTGACTAATCAGAACGATTGGGAAGGCGTAGGTTTGCGCTATAGCCTAGGCAACGCCATAAATTTGTCTAGCTCATGAGCTGGTTGCCTCATTTAGTTCCATCTCCGAAGAGAAGGTTCCATCTCTTGGCAGTTCCTGAAGAAATGGTTGATCCTCTGAGTCAGGGCTTTAACGGTGAGGCATTATGCCAAATCGCGCCCAGCCCTAATTCATTTATTTCCCCGCACTATCATCCACTCCCCCGCGTTCTATGTGGTTGACAATCTGCAACCTACAATGATCGCTCGCCAGTCATTTAGCGCTATGGAGGATCTGCTGACTTCTTTAGCTGGTACCATGACTGGCTATCTGAGTGCTCACTGTTCACTAGCCTCGGTTCACATGGAGATCGACTTGGGCTTCTTTGAAATCAACACTGAAATAAACTTCCACCTTCTCGACGAATCCTTGTTCACTTACCTCGTGGCCTTTCTAGCAGGGAAGGCTAGTTGTTCACTACGGACACAATTGCAACTGCCTCACCGCTAACAATGGTGACTTGCGCGGGGTTCTAGCGTCGTATTCTGCGACCTGGATACGATGATGTGCATTCGTTTGCCGAGTATTGCCAAGTGGTCATTATCAATCCTGAAGGAAGATAAAAGTCTTGGGAGAGAAATGGTGAACATTCAGCGATACCGAAATGTTAGACATGTATACATGTATAAATAGACCATCCTTTCCCAGCCTCGTAGAGTGTTAATCAAGGCCGTCAAGATGATCTTCAAGCCCACCTTACTCTTTCTTTTGTCTCTTCCCACCGCACTGGCAGCTCCAGCCAAGAGGGACTCCCCGACGGTGACCATCTCCTCCCCCTCAGCCACAATAGTGGGGAGCTCTGGTAATGTTGAGAGTTTCAATGGCATCCCTTTTGCGCAGCAGCCAACGGGTTCTTTACGTCTGAAGCCACCCCAGGCTTTAGAATCCCCTCTAGGGACATTCAAGGCTACTGGGGCCGCTAAGGCCTGCCCGCAGTTTTTTTTTACCACGGATACTTCCCAGTTCCCGAGCTCAGTGCTCGGTCAGCTCATCAATATTCCGCTCTTCCAAAAGATCACCAATGCTGGGGAAGATTGTTTGACTCTCAACGTCCGTCGGCCGGCAGGAACAACCCCGGAAAGTAAGCTACCCGTCCTGGTATGGATTTTTGGCGGCGGGTTCGAGCTTGGATCATCAGCCATGTACGATGGGGCGCCCTTAGTTTCCAGTTCAATGAATCTGGACATGCCAATCGTCTTTGTGGCCATTAATTATCGTGTCGGTGGGTTTGGTTTCCTACCCGGAAAGGAGATCCTCGACGATGGCTCTGCCAACTTGGGTCTCCGGGACCAGCGCCTCGCCCTAGAATGGATCGCCGATAACATCGAGGCCTTCGGTGGTGATCCCGAGAAGGTAACCATCTGGGGTGAATCGGCGGGATCCATCTCCGTCTTTGACCAGATGATGCTATATGACGGGGATCATACCTACAAGGGCAAGCCGCTGTTCCACGGCGCAATCATGAACTCCGGGTCGGCAGTTCCTGCCGACCCTGTCGACGGAGTCAAAGGGCAAGCCGTCTATGACGCCGTTGTAGCCACTGCCGGCTGCTCTGATGCTTCAGATACTCTTCAATGCCTGAGAGAGCTCGATTACACGGACTATCTCAACGCTGCCAATTCCGTCCCGGGTATATTGAGCTACCACTCAGTGGCCCTGTCGTACCTCCCTCGCCCGGATGGAAAGGTTCTCACCGATAGCCCGGAGGTACTCGGCAAGGCGGGCAAGTACGCCTCGGTGCCTTTTATCATCGGCGATCAAGAAGACGAGGGAACAATATTCGCACTGTTCCAGGCCAACATCACCACCACAGACGACGTCGTCGACTACCTATCGAAGTACTTCTTCTATGGCGCCTCGCAGGATCAACTCCAAGAGCTCGTAGGCACATATCAAACAATCACGGAGGACGGGTCTCCATTTCGAACAGGCATACTCAACAACTGGTATCCGCAGTTCAAACGACTCGCCGCAATCCTGGGCGACCTGACCTTCACTCTCACCCGGCGTGTTGTCCTGCAGATGGCAAATGACATCAAACCCGACGTTCCGAATTGGTCATATCTCTCCTCGTATGACTATGGCACTCCAGTCCTGGGAACCTTCCACGGCAGTGACCTCCTACAGGTCTTCTACGGCATCCTGCCAAATTACGCCTCCAGATCGACCCATACCTACTACTTCAGTTTCGTGTACGACCAGGATCCAAATTCAAGGAGGGGTGACTATATCGAGTGGCCGCAGTGGAAGGAGGACAAGCAGCTGATGAACTTCCTTGCGAATTCGGGAAAACTCCTGAAGGATGATTTCCGGTCCGATACGTATGAGTTCATCAGTAAGAATGTGGCCTCATTCCATATCTAGCGAATGGTTGTACATATTTTGACGCTCTGTTTGCAGATGATGACGATGATGAGTAACGTATATATCAGTATAATGGCAATATACCCGGAACCAGCTGGCTTA